CGACTCTTGATTTCAGCTCAGGTCATGGTCTGACAGTTGGAGCCCTGCGTCGGGCTCTGTGCTAATAGCACAGCCTCTAGGGAAGCTCTAGCTCTCTCTCTGCCCCTCCCCCACACGCATGCATGTGTGTGTGTGTGTGTGTGTGTGTGTGCGCGCGCGCGCGCTCTTTCTCTCTCTCTTGTGCGCTCATGTGTGCTCTCTCAAAATAGATAACCTTAAAAAAAGGCTTTTTGTATAGATTTCTAAAATTTACGTTTATAGTGATTGGGGAAATGGCAAAATAATTTGTGCAGTACTCTTGGATGCGCTGGGACACTGTGAATACACAAAAATGATGGGGGAGCAATGCAAATTGTTTTCAAGGCAGGACAACCATTCAGACATCACAATGGTAAAGCACCGATTTCTAATTCTAGCCCCTGTAGCTTGGGGTGGGGGTGCAGACATAGTCCCATTATGTCAGTGTTAATTGAAACCATGAGAACGCAACTCTCTCTGGCACAGGAGCTGTTAGTTTCCGTGGTGCGTGGAACCTCTTGTGCCTTCCTGAAAGACCACAACCACAACAGACTGCACCCTTCCAGGCCAAACTGCTGCTAACGCAGGTAAATAAGAAATACGTCATGAACCATGACAAGTAAGGATGGAGTAAATAATACAGACATGTGCAGCACCAGAGTGCTCTTGAGCCATTTGTTACTAACTGAAGGGACCTTTCTGAAGCTGGGATTGTAAAGCTCAGTGGAGGAAGCTACAATCACTGGATGTGGGGGCCCAGAAATCTGAAGCAAGGCAAGTATACTTCAACTAAGAAGTGACTTTCTCTTGAAGTCAGTTAAACTTGCTGGTGCTAATGGCCCTTAAAGGTTTAGCAATCATCAAATCACTGCTAAACGTGTTAACTATAACCCTCGTGTTGCAAAAGTCAGCGGGAAAAACAGGGCCTCCGCTTACAAAGAGAAAAGTGGGACCATGTTTGAGGTAGGTACACAGTAACCAGTCCCCAAGACCACAGTGCTTTTTTCATATCGGACTTTGAAAGACACCTTTGTAGATCGGGTGGGTAAGGGGGTGATGGTCTTGAAATGGGAAATCTATCCTCCACTCTGAAAAGTCTTTTTCAGGCCCAAGGTTTAATTAATTCTGTCGGACACCTAATGAATGTCTATTTCTTGGGTTGCTCTAGTTCTACCCTGTGGACTACCCTTCGACAGCAACCGGCAGTGGTGGGAACCCATATGAAAAACCAGCGCTTGGCTCCCCAAACTGGTCAAGAAGCTTATCGTATTAATCAAATATAGGGACTTTTCCCCAGCATGTTCAATTTGAAATAAGGTTTTGATAGATCATTTACTGTCTTCCCTATACCACCGTCTATTAAAATTTTCCATTTCATAGCCATACTCCAAAAATTAGTGTAATAAATGTTTTCTCAAATATCTAAGTATTCCTTGCATGCTTCTAAGCAGAAACATTACAGAGATGAGAGATTTTTTACATACTTTGTGTTTTAAGCCCTTTAGAAATTGATTTGATGCCCGAGTATCTTATTATTGTGTAATTTAGATAACATAACCCAACTGAGCTGAAGGGTTTGCTTTCAAGTTAATCCTTAAGGCTACAAGAAGCTCAGTAGGGAAGCACAACGTTATTTAAAAAGTTTACAGGGCGTTTGGGTGGCTCGGTCGGTTGAGTGACCGACTTCGGCTCAGGTCATGATCTCGTGGTTCGTGGGTTTGAGCCCCGCATCAGGCTCTGTGCTGACAGCTCACAGCCTGGCGCCTGCTTCAGGTTCTGTGTCTCCTTCTCTCTCTGCCCCTCCCCCACTTGTGCTCTGTTTCTCTCTCAAAAATAAACAAACATTAAAAAAAAGATCTAAAAAAAAAAAGTTTCCAATACCAAATACAACCTTTAAAGCAGACATGAAAGAGTATTTTCAACTAAACAAGTGGCAAGTGATGTTTACTCAGAGTAAATTAAGCCTTACAGCTTGTGTTCACTGTATTCTCACATAACAATGCAAATATCTCGTAGGCAGATATGAGAATACAGTGAATGCAGAATACACATCAACTCTGAAAGAAATTTAGGGTTATATTTAGAAAGGAACTTTCTCAAAACAGCTGAACAGTACTAAGGTACACAGGAAATCTTAAAAAAATTCATAGCAAAAGAAACATCAGAAATGGACTGCGACTCTTGTTTTGAGTCATATGCTCCTTATGGCATAGGCTAAGGGTGTTTGGATCTTATATAAAAGCCAGTCTTGCTGAGGATTTCCCACCATGAATTCTGAGAAGCAGAATTCTCAAGAAGAATGTAACACAGGGAAGCCACAGCTGCTTCCTTGTCCCCACCCCGGGAGAGGGGCTGGTGTGGGCAATGGCAAGCCTCCTGGCCCTCAACCTTCTCCTCGGTAATGAAGGCTCTCGAAATCACTTCTTGTTTTATCTACAGCCGTCTACCCCAAGTGGGAAGTTCTGGAATCTCCGTTCTCTAAGGGGTCTCCAACTTAGCAAAGCCAGGCTAACCAGACTTGTGCTGGCCTGTCCCTTTGCCCAAGAACAGAAAGGGGGATCGTGAATGTAAAAGCAACCACTTTTCAGACGCTTGCAAAAAAGGCTTTCTACTCCTTGCTTTTCTCTTCAGAGCATGCACGCGCGCATGCGCAGACACACACACACACACACACACACACTCATTCAGGTCTGCCTATTCAGTTTAGGATGAAGCCAAAGACTTGCTGAAGAAGAGCAGATGTGTGAGGTGAGCTATGTAAATGACTTTGACCTAGAGTCCCTGTGCCTTGTTTCGGGGCTCCGACATGAGCACTTGCAGGATTCATAATGGATGCTGCGGTTTAGGGATCAGATTATTCCTTTAATTATAACCACCATCCCCCCATGTGCACCCAGCCCCCCTCCTGGGCCCCAACAAATTGTTACAACTTCTAAGGAAACTACCAGGAGAAAAAGAAGTGAATAGAAACATGCTGGAGAGAACTGTTTCCTGCAAGTTTCCGGCCTGGAGATGAGAGAGAACAAAAAAAAAACTGAAATAATGAGGGCAACCAATCAATTAATCCTCCTACCACCCAATCCTAGCGCGAAATATCCTAGAAGCATCTCATTTTTATGGCACACATCCTTTAGAATCTTCTCTTCACTGGGTTAATGTAAGTTTCCCCTCTAACTAGGGTAACTTTGACTCCTGGTCTACTAGGGACAATCCTGGTTGCTTGTTAAAAATTAGTGGCACATATTGCCTGGGTAGGAATGTGAATGAGCACCTCTTGGTTTAGATGGTAAGCATCCTGGATTGGACAATAGATTAAATGGTCACTTGAACCCTAGATGAACTCTCTGCTAGGCAATCAGATTGATATTCTAGTTGTGTTGCTGAGTTTTTATTCTGACCTCTCCTTCAGTCCTCAAAACAACCAAATGGCCTGAGTAAAAGCTGCTGTCCTTATGACCGCAAATTTTTTTAGCAAACGGACTACAATTTAGCTTTTCCTCTGAGGGCTGAAATGTCATGGTACCAAGATGAGTCTTCCACAAGGTGACATGCCCCAGGGTTATTCTGTCCCTCCAGTGGTAGAAGTCATGGAAGGGTAGAGGTGGAAACGCCTTCAAATTTTGCCTTTTTTTCTGAAGAAGGGGGAGTAAAGGAGCCATACAACCATTTCCTCCTTGAAATCTTACTCAAAACACTCGACTTCGGAAAGAGGAAAGCAAAGCTTCTCTGGTGCAGCTAGGAGGCGAAGTCCCAGATGCAGAGTCTCACTGGAAAGCACCCCATGTTTCTCTGGCCTCTTCTCAAGGAGGCCTCTGAAACACCTTAGCTGGCCGCAGAGAACACAGTCCAATTCTTTTAATTTACAAATGGAGGAAAACATGGCTCACTTCATCTGCTCTTGCCTACCTATCACAATTTCATTCTCTCTATTGGTGATCCTAGAAACAAAGCCATAAGTCAAGAGCAGGTGGCCCACGCTAATTGTCATAAAAGACTCTGCCTTCTAAGGAGCTTAGAGTACACCTTAAAACAGAACACAAGGAAACACGCAGTAATGGATGCTAAATACTGTTCCAGACTGTAACTAGCAAGCTCAAACCTAGTCACTCAAAGCAACTAAATATGGAGCCTGTTTCTTTCTCTGGAGGGGAAGTAGAATAGAAGCCAAAAGGAGTATGGCGATATTAAACTCATTTTGAAAATTAAGGTTCCAAAGTGAACATACAATCTGCTTCTAAGAATAGCTACCAAGGAAACCACTGAGAAGAATGATAATGTTATATGATAATGCTCCTCACAGCACGGTTTCTAACTATATAGCGTAAGTATATCAGGCCAAAGTGTGCGAGGGAAAAGGCAAGCGAAAGGAGAGAGCAGAACAGAAGAAAACCGTTCTCGAGCCCATGGATTTTTCTACCTCTCAAACGGTCTTTTAAAATAAAACAACACAGGGGCGCCTGGGTGGCTCAGTTGGTTAAGCGTCCGACTTCAGTTCAGGTCATGTTCTATCTCATGGTTTGTGGGTTCAAGGTCCACGTCAGGCTCTGTGCTGACATCTCAGAGCCTAGAGCCTGTCTTCAGATTCTGTGTCTCCCTCTCTCTCTCTGTCCTTCCCCTGCTCACGTGGTCTCTCTCAAAAATAAATATAACATAAAAAAATTTTTTTAATGAAACATGGGGTGCCTGGGTGGCTCAGTCAGTTAAGTGTCAGACTCTTGATTTCAGCGTAGGTCATGATCTCAAAGGTTTGTGAGATCAAGCCCCACATCGGGCTCTGCGCTGACCAAGTGGAGCCTGCTTGGGTCGGTCGGTCTCTCTCTCTCTCTCTCTCTGCCCCTACCCTGCTTTCCCATGCTCTCTTTCTCTCTCTTACAACAAATAAATAATAAATGACAGGTAGGTAGGTAGGTAGGTAGATAGGTAAGTAGATAGATAAAATGATACAACACAAAACAAAAACACAGGATGCAACCAGAACTTACCACGGACACTTTGCTCACTACATCTCTCGCGACTGCCAAGCCTTGAGCAAAAGTACGGGCTGCTACGAACGCACGAGTGACCTGCAACTTCAGTTTCCGAGGGACATCTCCAAAGGGCTTCAGCTGCTCGGTGTACTTGCTCACACATTCCAGATACTCATCTGTAAAGTGGTACTGGGAGTTCACCAGGCGGAACATCCGCTCCAGAAGGCGAGCCCAGAAGTCACTTAGCATTTCCTCCAGGTTGACGCTTCCTGCCACATAGTAGCGCTTCAGCTCTCCGAAGAGATCTTTAAATAGCTCAGAATTCTGCATGTATAAGCGGCCATATGTCTTCACAAACATGTCATTCAGGGATTTCTCTGCATTTTCCAGCAGTTCTTTGAAGAATTCTAAAAACAAAACAAAAAAAGAAGAAAAAGAAAGAAAGGGCTTTCAGTAACTAAACAACGGAGGGCTCCTCAGGTCAATTTTAAGACTTAAAAAAAAATCACAGAATTAAATTGGAAAACACACTCAGATGGAAGGTGGATTTCTTTTGGGAGATGTGGCATTGCTAATCATTTGTCAATGAAAGGAAATCTAGGTCACAAGTCACAAAGGGGTGGGGAGGGTATTTTAGACCAAGAACTTCTCGGAAGTCAATATAAAACCCATTCATTTCTCCCATTCAGTCACAAAGTAAATAAAGAACCAGATAAAAATGTTTACATGAAGTCTAAAACATGAGGTTTGCCAGAACTTTCTTACCATAAGAGTCTAAACCAAAGCCAATGATGCCTCCTAACTGAAACATGACACCAGTGGACAGGTATTTTCAAAACAGGTTGTTTTACTTGGACACTATTTTTCCTTTTCTCCTCACATCTACATGACATGAAAGAATGCAGCCTGGGAAATGCTAGTGGACAAGAAATAGAACAAAATACCCTAAAAGCTAACATTGAGATTTTCTGAAAGTTCACAGGTGTTCCCTGTGACATTAGTACAAACTGGGGTATCCAAGCTGACCTTGGGTTCTTAAAGGAGTCATATGGTAACATCATGAGATTCCTGGTGGGGAGGGGGAGAGAGAAATGTCTAACAGACTCAACCATAGATCTGGTGTATTTATAAGACAACAGGGAAAACTACTGAAGAAAATAAGTAAGAATACCTGGTTATTCCAGACTTACTTTTTGGCCTAAGAGTTAAAGATATTAATCTCTTAGGTACACATAGCAAATTAGTTTCTCCTGAAGCTTTTCTTAGGCAGGTCAAAGAAGAGAAGAGCTAATGGTACACCTGTATCAATAATTCTTCAAGCATCTATGGTTGGTATGAAAATAAACACTTCACGACATCAAGTTTATAAGCAGGAAATGTACTAAATACCAAAGGAAAATATAAGGACCTCAATTAAGAAAATGCCTCCAGGGGCGCCTGGGGGGCTCAGTTGGTTGAGCACCTGACTGTTGGTTTTGGTTCAGGCCATGCTCTCACAGTGTGTGAGTTTGGGCCCCACATCGGGCTCTGCGCTGACAGTGCAGACCTTGCTTGGGATTCATTTTCTTTCTCTCTCTCTCTCAAAAATAAATAAATAAACTTAACACACACCAAAAAAGAAAAAGTGCCTCCAAGCACACATGGAGCAGAAAATATGGTGCCTCCTTCAAAGCCAGAAGAACATTAACAATCTTACCAAAACGCAATAGTGCGACAAAGCCATTATCTTCTCATGTCGAGTGGGCAATCAGAGGCTGAAAGCTGCTTCTAAATAGTTTCTCAAAACCTGGACTGGAAACACAGAAGCCTTTTGGAAGGGGTGTGTGTGACTAGCTTACTTCCAAGAGATTCCATGCCTATGTCCCCAACACATCACCACACACAGTTGCTTGATGCTTGAGGCTGAAGTCCACAGTCTCCCGCATACCAGCTTTTCAAACTATGTGTGTTTTGTTTGTAGGGTAGTTTTGCACAGAGAACAGCTCTTTCCTTTTCCTTTGGTGGAGTTTTTCTTTCTACTACCACCTAACTTGTATTCCCTGAGCTTTCTTCAAGGAGAGACAGGAAAATGATTCTCTCCAAAGAGTTAAAAAGTTGAGAGGCCAAGTCAACTCTTCACCTCCATTACAAGTGCACAGTTTGGCATTTTTACCAACGTTCTCTCCCCGGAATTAGACCAGAAAGTGTGCAAGGAGCTAGGGGAACTATATGAAAAGCATGACTCCAATCAGGTACCTGAGAGGCCTCGAATTCTCTCCAAAATCCTAAGTGATTCTCAAGTGTGGTCCCAAGACAGGCAAGCATCAACACCACATCACCATCACCAGGATACTTGTTAGTAATGCCAAGTTCATGGGCCCCACCCTAAAACCACTGGATCAGAGACCCTGGGGACAGAGCCCAACCATCTGCAACTCTGCTTGTGCTAGCGTTCGAGTGCCACTCACCTCTCAATAGCAATCAACACCAGCTCAGGGCTGTGCTAATATGAAGCATATGGGTTAAGTGTTTTAATTAGAGGAAAATGTCTTTCCAATGAATTGGGTTTTTAAATTTTTTTTCTTGCAATCGTGGGTATGATCTATGATGTTTTCAGGGGGATCAATGTTCTTGTGTGGAAGTCTCTACCAAGTGTGCAGATGCAGGTAGCACTTTTCTAGAATTCAAAGCTGGGAAGTCGTGCGGTACAGAGAGACCTGAAACGATCATCTGGTCCACTTCCCACACCTTGCTTGAATAGCCAGCATCTTTGCCAAGTGGCGCTGGCTCATCGAGGACATAAACAAGGCACATGGAGTTGTGTTAGTACATGTCCAGGCAGTTGCACACATAGCTCCCACATACTGGAAAAATAAAGCCTGGTCATTGAGATCAAAATGCAAGCCTTCTGTCAATCCAGTGCTACTAATATTTCACGATCCAAAAGAGAAGATTCCAAAGGTAACCACGGGTCCATCCTTAATATTGGATTTTTATTATATTACTCATAAAATTGGCACACATCATTGAGTGTAGAAATAGGATGTTGGAAAATTATTTGACTTGTGCTTTGATGACTCACTTAATAAGTAACTCTGAATACTCGCATTTCTAGTGAATGGCATCTATAGTCATACAGGTTTTCAGGGTAGGAGCAGAGTGGCATTTCAAAGGTGTTTTAATTTAAAACATCTATAAAATGTCAGAGTCCATTGTTTAGGCTTCGAAGTGCTCCAGGTCAAAATGAAATGCTCAGACACTGAACATTTTACGGAAAAAAATAAAAGTCTTAGAGTTCCTCATTCAGATCAAGAACACTGTGGGTTGGTGTAGCTCTGTATAACACAGCTTCGGAGTATAAGAGAAATGATCTAATTAAGAGGAGAAGTGATTTCAAACCGGCATGACCTCTGTCTAATACCATCATGGACCTTACTTTTTCCCATAATTCAAATTCGGTCTTGAAAGGGTGTGTCTGTGTGTCTGTGTCTGTGTGTGTGTGTGTGTGTGTGTGTGTGTGTAAGCATGCATGCTGTGTGTTATGTTAATTTAAACTTTAAGAGATTAGCTTGGCGCTACATACATATTAAATTCTAATTCCTTTGCTTGTTCAGAAAATTCATTTCCTTTCCTTCACACTTTAAAGACTCTTTAGTGTGGCTATGTAAGTTGCAAATATAAAGATCGTTTGAGTGGGCTATATATAGAAATTCTATAAAACTGATATAACAAATTAAAATCTGATAATTTAATCCCTCCTAATGGCTATGCAATTTGACAAGTATTTACTGAGTGGCTATTATCGGCTCAAATCAAAGCACACTGTTTTACTATGCATTTTAACCTTCTTGCTCAATCAGACTCAAATCAGCACTTCCAGAAAGACAAATTTCCTTCATTCAATTCACCTTTACTATACCACCGACCCTCCACATATGGTTTTATGTGCCCCAGAGATTTTTTAAAGCATCTAAAAAATCCTTAATCATTCGTTCCATATAGCAAGTTTTAAAATATTTATCTCTTTCACCTACGGAAGTTAACAGAGCAAAAGCAAAGGGATCCAAAGAACCCAAACTCATTTCTCTTTAGACTTCTTACTGGTCTTGTTCAGCTGGACAATGTGGCCTATGCCTTTTGCCTCAGAGACCTTGTAAGGATGGCAGGCATATGGGGCACCTGGGTGGTTCAGTCGGTTAAGGACTTTGGCTCAGGTCATGATCTCATGATTCATGGGTTCGAGCCCCATGTCGGGCTCTGTGCTGACAACTAGCTCAGAGTCTGGAGCCTGCTTCAGATTCTGTGTCTCTCTCTCTCTGACCCTCCCCTGCTCACGCAATTTCTCTCTCTCACACAAATAAATAAAACATTAAAAAAAAAAAAAAGGATGGCAGGCATAGTTTAAATTCTAAATCCCATACTAAGGGGTGCCTGGGTGGCTCAGGCAGTTAAGCGTCCAACTTCAGCTCAGGTCATGATCTCACAGTTCGTGAGTCTGAGCCCCACGTTGAGCTCTGCACTGACAGCTTGGAGCCTGATTGGGATTATCTCTCCCTTTCTGTCCCTCCCTTACTCTCTCTCTCTGTCTCTCAAACAAGTAAACATTAAAATCCACACCAGTTAGGTACAAGATCAACCAAAGCATAATAATTTGCTCTAAGGAAGAAAAAAGAGAAAAGGGGAGGAAAAAGCTTTTACATCTCCTCCTCCTATCAAACTAGCAGCTTTCGTTGGTTTTTGTATAATTCTTTCATATCCCCTCTTCCCTTTCCCTTCCTAGGACCCTTCCTTCTACAACGAGGACTAGAACATGAATTAGACATTCAGGTCCTGGTCCACAGCCATCAACAGCAACGTCATAAATGGTCGTCATACTCCTCTCCACTTTTCCTCATTATTTAGAATTCAGGATCAGGGTCAGACCTTAACTGCTAATGAAGAACCGTGTCGGCCTGCGATACCTAGCAATCATTCCTTCTTCATCGCTATGCCTGAAGCCAATTCTAAGACACTTGGTGGCTTGAAACAGAACCAGCAAGAGCAGTGTAAACCAGAATTCCACAACGGCCAGAAGCTTAGTTATTGGAATTAGATCTCCCCTGTGGCAACAGCTTGTATTCATGAAAAATGCCGTGCAGGGAGTATGTTTTAAGTGATGCTACCGGTGTCTGAAAGAGTCAGAGAGGAAGTGTAAGTGTTTATGTTCTAAGAATCAAGCTGCTCCTAGGGCTCATGAAGGAGCACTTAACCTAGGGGTGGAAATAAACACCGTAACATGCTACCTATCTAACCTGGCGTGACACAGTGGGAAAAGTGTGGGACCTCTCGTTTATGAGGTGTGTGACCTTGAATGGACAAAAGATCTAACCTCTCTGATCTTCTGTTGCCTCATCCAGCATGGAAGAGATGTTCAAGAAACGGACACTTT